GGGAACGAAGAGCGAGAGTTTGTCACTGTTTGGAAATATTGAACATGGCAGTAGGTGAAAAGTTCATAGAAGAGCCTGCAGCTCAAGGCAGCAGGACTAACCGAAAGCCTCGAAGTACCATTGCCACCCACGACTCTCCCTCCTGTTTTCTCCTCTACGGGACCATTTCGATAATCTGGTGCAGATGCCAATTCAGGCTCCTGCTGGATACCTCTTCTGGCTCCAAAGTGGTATCATAGAGACTGTGAGAATATAAGAGTGCGAGTAAACGATGTAGAATCTCGGTCACTCGTCAGATTCCAACTCAAACCAATCTCCCTAGAACTCTTTTGGAAGGTTAGGTTTCTCCTCTTCTGTGCTTTGGGTCAATCAACTACGAGCCATGGGCAAGATTGAAATCTCAACAGCGGAGGACTTCGAGAATTGTCGTCGAGAGTTCAGGAAACTCAGTCGGAGGCTTGGCAAAGATTTTAGCCCCGAAGACTGTGAAGATATGCTCTTTGAAGCTGTGGACTACGGATTCGCCTTCCTACTGTACTGCAAAGAACTTCAAAGCAAGCATGCTTCGAAGCGTCTCCGTGATGAGGTGATTACTATCAGCGACAGCGACAGCGACAGCGACAGCAAGTGTTCATCGCGATAATCCATGCTCGGAAGCTGATTACTCTCAGGCGGCGGTGCAGCCCTGACCTCGAAAATCCCAGACGTGGCGGTCAGTAAGAAACGTGCACGAAGGAATAGCACCGACAGTGAAGGTATGGACAGTTCGGTGAGCCTGCATTCTCACAACTAACTTCGGTCTAGGCGAGGATAATTCAAAGCCTTCGAAAAAGGTGCGCATGAACACGACCAAAAAGCGTACTCGAAATATGATGGAAGACTCTAGTGACGGTAAGTTTGCGGCTGGATCGCTCACAGCGCTACACTAACTATTTCTAGACGGACAAACAGGGAGTTCTTCTAAGAAAGCTCGTCTGGGTGGACAGAAGGTGGAAGCTGCCAAAGTATTCAAAGAACTCGATGCGCTATTGAAGACAACCGTCAAAGGATCAAAGTAGGGCCGATTCTAGAGCTAGTGAGACAGAATACTACAAGGAAAAGTTCAGGCGGGGAATGCCGACGATAGGAAATGAGGAATTCTGCAAGCCCGGGATGCAAGGAAAGGACGAGAGAAGGGAAGCCGAAAAGAACCAAAAGAAAGATGGGAGGAGCGGAGGATCGACCAATGTACACTCGTTTCGCTATGTTACTGTAAGTCCACCAAGAATAGTTGTCAGTTGATCTGACCTGTCAAATGTTATCTGGTTCTCGAATAGCATTAAATGAAGATCATATTCAGGTTGAGGAATTATGGATAGGGGTATAGACATGCTAAAGGGTGACCCAAGGGATGAGCTGTAAGGCGGCTATGCAGTGCAAAATCCTGTAATTAAAAAAAATCTCTGGTTTGAAAGTCCCCGATGATGTTTAGACAACAGAAACAGTGAACTCAAGAAGGAGGGCAGCGATCGTTAGATATTCGTTCTATACCCGCTACACTGGAACAGAGTCTCGAAATGGATCTTTAGATATCGATAAAAAGAATAAGAATTTTCAAAGCGTTGGTACCAAAAATGATGCTACAGTATGTGGCCTTGAGAGGTAATACATCTCAGGTTGCGCAATAACAGGCCAGGAGTTAGGTATTCCAGATTGCGAGAGAAATTCAACCTCGTGATTTGAAAATGGTCGACAATGGCAGACTTAGCGGCAATGGCGATGCCGCCTCAGCTTCCTTCTCCATGCCTCACTATCCTATTGTCTCAATCGGCAGTCATTCATCCTTGTGAGACACCGTTCATTTCCCTCCCGATATAGAAGCTTTCGTCACACTAACACAAACAACTCTCTCCTTCAGGACCAGGATTGTTGGTGCTTCGAGCAGCTATCAGCTATGGGTGGCGTTTGTAGTGTTAAAATTTAACAGTAGAAGATTTCGAAGATTGTCGTGACAAACCTTTGGGTCGAAAGAAGTTCCGAAATTTAATCCAGGGAGGATCGTCCTTTCAAGTGAGCTCGGAAAACATTGTTCTAGAGTACATGCAGGCTGTAAACAGATGTGTTGGGATGGACGTCTGTCCTAACCAATCACTGATCATGATGCTGAGAGAAAGGTGTAAAGGAGAAATGTCCTCAGTGACAGAAAGCTAGGACAATATCTTGGCGGGACAGGTTGTGCCGGGGACGAGTTGCGTCTGGGGACAGGTTATGGCTGAGGACAAGTTTGGCTGAG